CATGTGCATGCTGTTGTTAATGTCTAATGCACCCACCTCCATAAAATGCAGGCATAACACACTTGCTGAATCAGCACGTTCATGGTCCTACTTAATGGCTGATTGTACTATATAGAGCAAAAGCGTTTTTGATAAAACCACAGACTGGTGAACAAGAAAATCTATTGCTGCAGGCACCATATGTTTTCACAATTATAAGATTTTTTTTTTTAAGGTTGGAGGCAAGAGAGGTCATTAATGCTGTTTTACAAATGAAGAAAATGAATTCCTGAAAATACAGAGTTTGTGCCAAGCATAAAAATGAGACTGTGCTGTGTCCAATCCCAGGAGGGATATTCCGTCATGACAATTGGTTTTAAAACTATGGTTGCATGATTGAATCATCCTTAAAGGCTGAAGATGAGCTTTCTGGACAACATGAGGCTGTGAGAATTCTTAACACTATATCATCTTAATTTCCATACAAAGGGTTAAAGTTTTAAACATCTATTTTGCATCCTAGATCCCACTAAATACTTTATGCAGATTATCTCCTTTAACATCTTCCTGTAATGATCACCTCCATCTTAAATATAGAAGAGAAGCCCAGAACATTTAGTTGTGTCCCAGGGTCACAGAGCTGGAGTTGGGTTCCAATACTCAAGCAGAAATTCTCTTTCCCTACTCTCTTGTCCCTGTCTCTTGTCTGTAGGACACATGGTCAAGCTATTTCCTTGCCTACTAAAGTGGATACTAAGCTAAGTCACACTTTATAGCCACAGGGTTCTGTAGTCTCCAGAGGGTAGCGTGGATGCCCTGGGATTACCCCACATCAGAAAAGATACAGTCCAACCCTCAGATCTGTCCCACCAATGGTCCAGATCTTTCTACATTTTTCTGAGTTCCATGAGCTCTGGCCTTCACGCATGTCCTGAGTCTCTTATTAACTACTCTTATTAACTACTACAATGAACATGAAGAAATACATGCATTTAAAATTTTGAGGCTCCAGAGAATTGAAGGATTTACTCACAAAATTTGATATTCACACAAAAAGAAGCAGAAATAATAAAGAACCATAAAACATTAAGGTAAAATGAACTGCTATTTGTTAATGAGATAGCTTCTTCCAAGTATTGAATGAGATAGTGCCCTAGCATGTTAGACTACAACACTTTGAGCCTTAAATTCCGCCTTAACTACTGTTCTGCATGCTACAATAAACTGTGTACTTTATAGTTACAATTAAATGTAATTACAACAAAATTAAAAAATGCATAATGAGAAAGGATTTTGCTTCTTACCTTTTCCCCAACTCCAAGGAGCACAACCTGGAGGAGACAATTCTTACTGAGAAAGAAGAAAATTAAAAGTAAGGATTAAGCTTCAAACCCAGTACCAGGCTCACACTGGAAAATTCAGTGCTGGGAAAAGCCCCCAACGTGATGAGCTGGACAATACCAACATTCATAATAAGCTCCTGAAATTCTGTTCTGCGAATCTGCTCATTGCCACCATCATGCCTTCCCTAACCTCAGGCAACATGGTGGAGAGACAGACCTACCTATTGGAGGATAGGGCTCACAAGCTAGCACAGGCCTTTATCTTGGAGTATGGTGCCGGGACTCCTGAGGTGAGATTTCACATCTGGTAGAGACTCAGGACATGCGTGAAGACCAGAGCTCATGGAACTGAGAAAAATGTAGAAAGATCTGGACTACTGGTGGGACAGATCTGAGGGTTGGACTGTATCTTTTCTGATGTGGGGTAAGCCCAGGGCATCCGCACTACCCTCTGAAGACTATAGAACCCTGTGGCTATAAAGTGTGACTTAGCTTAGTATCCACTTTAGTAGGCAAGGGAATAGCTTGACCATGTGTCCTACAGTCTCAGACTGAACAGATAGCTCCAGGCCAGTGCTCAGATATGGGGATTAAACAGTGTCTTGGCGCCAGGCAGGTACCTGCACTGAAGTAAAATGGACTCTCAACTGCATCATTGTGGATCAGCCAGCAGATCCAGCATCATGGGCCACAGCATACCTGTATACCTGTATAGATCTTTGCATGTGAGATTCAGGATAAGTATAAGTGTAGGTAGCCAAGGGACTGCATTCATCTGTATTACTACATCAACCTTATGAAGCCTAGTGTAGTATAAGACCCATTTACAGGGTTAGTCCCAGGCACTAAGTATAGCATGTTCCCGTGGAACTTAGTCCTAGGCTGGTGAAACCTAACATACTGGCTGGATATGAAAAGTCCCTATCTACATGCTTTCCTCTGAAAGAAGGCTTTGGAGCAATACCAGGAAAAACATGCCACTCCAATGTATAGGACTTGTCATCAAGGAAGAATTTCCTGTAGCTGATTTTGTTGGTCTTCAGCCATGAGTCACATCACCAATAGGCAACAGAGAGTTGTAGACTTTGGCCCTTTCTCACTGTTGTGCTGGTATTGGAAGGGGCTGAGAAAAGCACATGATGCAGTTTGATGGCACTGGTGCTCACAGGTGTCACATAGGAACCTGGAACTCTTCCATGCATGGTTTCTCTGCTGAGAGCCAGGCAGGATGCTGTATTGCATTACCACAGGTTACTAATTGTGGCTGAGGAATCTAGGTCTACCCTATCACCAGGATGAGGTTTACAGTGACAGACTTCTTTTGCTAGGCAATTTTCTGGATATTTCTGAACAATACTTCATCAATGTATGTGGGATAAACCTGAGCTTGGATTACCCTCTAGTACTGAGACAGTGACAAAAACCAGTCATAGCCATCTAACATATCTGGACCCAGATTCTACTCAGTGCTGAAATAGTGGAAAAGTCTGTAGGTAGGCTAAAATTGAAAAGAAGGAGAGAGAGAGAGAGAGAGAGAGAGAGAGAGAAACAGAGACAGAGACAGAGACAGAGACAGAGACAGAGACAGAGAGGTAGACATACAGAAAGAGGGACAGAGAAAGGGAGAGAGAGAAAGAGACAGAGAGAGATTGAGACAGAGAGAGAGACAGAGAGATAGAGAGGAAGAGACAGAGACAGAGACAGAGAGAAAGGAGACTCTCATTTGAAATTCTGGAGAAAGACAGGCACAAAAAATGAGATGAGGAAAACTGAATTAAAAATTTAATCCTTTAATGTCCAGGTGAGATATACCATCAAGTATTAAGAGCTTTCAAAAAATGATCTCATTTAGGTATGTGCAAGAAACTAACATGAGAATAATCATTATAGAAGAACTTTCGGATAAAGAACTTAAAACAACTGCTTAAAGGAAATTTAATGAGTTTGAAAAAAACCTATAGTAATATACTAATAGATATATTTATAGGGATAGAGGCAATTAAATATCTAATTATTGAGCTGAAAAATATACTCAGTGAAATGAAAATGCAATAAGAGGCATTTAATGAAATAGATCAAATAGAAAAATGAGATAGAGAGCACAAAGACAAGTTACTTACAAATAAGCTATTGAAGAAGAAAAAAGGAAAAAGAGGTAAGAATTCAGTCTGCTCTCGTGCACTTGGTGACCTACTCTTATGATGTGCTACATGGGCATAAAGCCCGCTGATCATCTCGAGAGATGTAGAACATCACTTGATAGAATGCAGTATCCTTTCATCATAAAAATAGTGAACAAAGGGCTGGTCAAATAGCTCAGCAGATTAAAGTGCCTACAAGAAGGCACAGGGACCTGGGTTCAATCCCAGCATGTGGATCCAGCTCCACCTCCAGGGTACACTGAGATGGTGATTGAGACTGGGTGTGGTGGGGCTTACCTATAATCAAAGCACTTGGGAGGCTGAAAACAGGAGGCTTACTACAAGTCTGATCTGTGTAATGAGACCCTGTAGACCCTGTACTAAGTACATAAAAATAAAAAATAAAAAGTACCACAACATAATAACAACTATTTACAATAAGATGTTAGGTAAGTTTATAATAAATAGGGGAAAGGTGAAATAATTTTCTCTAAGACTTGGACAAAACAATGATGCCCACTTTTTAAAAAATCATAAGCACCTAGAAGAGAAATGTTAAATCTCTCTCCCCCTCTCCTCTCCCTCTCCCTCTCCCTCTATATATATATGTCTTCTCAAACATCCACAAATATATGAAAACTAAATAATCAATTTAGTAAACTTATGAATAAAAATTCAACATACCAAACTGTGCATATAGTAATTGTATACATATATACATATGTAGCAATTACATATACAGAAAATGAGTTACATTAAATGGAAATGAAGAAAGTAATTAATTCCATTTATAACACATTCTAAGAAATTTGGAATACATTTAACCCAAAGGCAAAAGACAAGTATTATGAAAATTATTAGACATTGGAGAAGTTCCACAAAAGTGGAAATGGACAGTTTCTCTGTCCATTGCCTTGAGGAATGGCTAAAAGGTCCATTTTACCCAAACGAATTTACACATTCATGTACTCTCTATCAGAATACCAATGCTAGTCTTCACAAAACCAAAGAGGCAACTCAAAAATTTCTATGGAAGTACAAACAATTTCAACAGCCACAGTGATCTTGAGCAAAGAAGAACAAACAGGAAGCACTATAGTACCAACTTCCATCTGTAGTACAATGTTATAGTTATATAAACAGAATGGCCTTGGTACAAAATCAGAGGAATGGAACAGAATAAAGCCTATAAGCATCACTAAGCATCAACAGCTGAATTTTAAATAAAGGTGTTAAAAATTCTTTGGAGAAAGGGCAGCTGTTCCAATAAATGGTGCTCACTAAATTGGAAACACAGACAGAAGATCACAGACAGGACAATGAAACTAGATCCCTATATTACAGTACTAAAAACAACTCAAGAATCAATTATAGACTTAAATGTGAACCTGACATTGTAAAACTAAGAAAATGTTGGCAGGAAACTTCAAAAAATAGAAATGAAAAGGTATTTTTGGTGTGTCGGAGCTGCTGCCGCTGAGTCCGGATCTGAGAAGTGTGCACCCCGACGCCCGCCTCACGTGCATTCCCGGTTCCTTGTGGTTCTAAGTCCAAGATGGCTAGTCTCAAGGATGAGCTGATTGTGACTCTCCTTAAGGAAGAGCAGGTGCCCCAAAATAAGATCACAGTTGTTGGGGTTGGTGTTGTTTGCATGGCCTGTGCCATCAGTATCTTAATGAAGGACTTGGCAGATGAACTTGCTCTTGTTGATGTCATGGAAGACAAACTGAAGGGAGAAATGATAGATCTCCAACACGGCAGCCTTTTCCTCAGGACACCAAAAATTATCTCTGGCAAAGACTATAATGTAACCACCAACTCCAAGCTGGTTATTATCACCACTGGAGCACATCAGCAAGAGGGAGAGAGCCACCTTAATTTGTTGCAGCATAATGTGAACATCCTCAAGTTCACCATTCCTAATGTTATGAAGTACAGTCCCAACTGCAAGTTGCTTGTTGTGTCCAACCCAGTGGACATCTTGACCTATGTGGCTTGGAAGATAAGCGACTTTCCCAAGAACCATGTTATTGGCAGTGGTTGCAACCTGGATTCAGCCCAGTTCTGCTACCTGATGGGAGAAAGCCTGACATGCACCCACTGAGCTGCCACAGCTGGATCCTTGGGGAGCATGGAGACTACAGTGTCCTTGTGTGGAGTGGCATGAATGTTGCTGGTGTCACCCTGAAGAATATGCACCCTGAGTTAGGAACTGATGAGGATAAGGAGCATTGGAAAGAGGTTTACAAACAAGTGGTTGAAAGCACTAATCAAGTGATCAAACTGAAAGGCTACCTATCTTGAGTCATTGAACGGTTAGTGGCAGATTTGGCAAAAAGTATATTGAAGAACCTTAGGAGGGTACACCCAATTTCTACCATGATTAAGGGGCTGTATGGAATAAAGGATGATGTTTTCCTTAGTGTCTCTTGTGTCCTAGGACAGAATGGGATCTCTGATGTTGTGAACGTGACTCTGACTTCTGAGGAAGAGGCACGTTTGAAGAAGAGTGTGGATACCCTGTGGTCGATCCAGAAGGAGCTGCAGTTTTAGAGTCTTCCAGTGTCACCACATCACTGTGTAGGCTTCAGGAGGGTTTAGTGGGAGTTGTGCCAGTTGTCCTATTTAGCTGACATGGGATTAAAGCAGCACTATTAAGATGGCCTGGGGAAAGCATCAGTTTCGGAAAGTTAGAAGTAGAAATGATTCACAAAACCCCACAGCTCTGTCCTGATGCCTGATAGTGCTGTACTAGTAGTCCTGATTTGTATAAAGCAGCCCAGCATCTCTGAGACACCTCGCTGCGCAGGCTCCAGTCACTCTTCAAACAGATGTGTGAACAGTGGCTACACAGCTTCACCCACCAAGCCTTGTCTGACTTTTCCCCAGTTGGCTACAGCCTGGGATCCAGTATACAAATCCAATACTGCATGTCTTGTGCATAACTGTCTTAAAGGATTTTATTTTGTGTAATATATATATAGCCGTATAATATAAAAAGATCAACCTGTGAACAGTGCAACCCAATATCACACCAACTACAATACCAAATAAACCTTGAACAGTGGCTACTGTTAAAAAAAAAAAGAAAAGATATTTTTATGTGGCACAGGAAAACAAAAAGACAGGAAACAGAAGCAAAAGTAGTCAAATAGGATCACATGAATCTGAAATTCTCTGCACAGCAAGAAAAATAATCATGATGACAGGGTAGAGATGAGCTGCAGAGTAGAAGGTAGTATCTGTATTCATCTGAAAACAGTGTGACACCTAGAATGTATGAGAAAATCCAAAATCCAATGGACGAAAATTTATTAAAAGTAGGCAATAAATCTAGCTAGACATTTCCCAGAAGAACACACACACATGAATAGAAACCAAGGACATAAGAAAGGGGCAACAGCACTAATCATTAGGGGAAAAACAATCACAAGATATCATCTCACCACAGTGAGATGGACTGTTACAAAAAAACCCTAAAGATAAAAAGTGCTAGCAAGAATACAGAGGAAAAGGAATCCTTGCAAACTGTTAGTGCTAAGATAAATTAATGCAATCATATGTGAAAAGTATGGAGGTTTCTTAAAAACTCCAATAATCTATACTCCTCTTTCTGGGTATTTAGCCAAAGGAAGTGAAACCAGTATGTAGAAAAGACATCTTTACTCTCATTTTCATTGCTGCTCTTTTCACAACAGCTGAGAAATGCAAAGTCACCTTCCTGTAAATAGTCCAAGGTGACATTTATTAGTTTTAAATACTGCTTTTGGATTCTTTTTTTATGTAGTTCATACAGAGTCTACAGTGTCTCACTACACTGATCGGACTCATAGTGATTCTCCTATTTTCAGCTTCCCAAGGGCTCGGATTACAGACACGTGCCACCACACCCAGTCTCAGTTGCCGTCTCAGCGTGCCCCGAGGGTGGGCCCAGCACAGCAGATCATGAATCAAAGCCCGGTACCTGCATCTGCCTAAGCATGTGCTTTAATCTGCTGCACTATCTGGCAGGCCCTCTTTTTTCATTTTTATATTTTAAAACTTTAATCAAAGAGCAAAATGTAAGTTTTATTGTACACCATCAAAATTAAGCTGCTTTCATAATGTACTTATACTTTTTTCTTTCTTTTTTTTTTTTTTTTTTTTTTTGTCAGAACCTGGGATTGAACTCAGGCCCTTGTGCTTGCCAGGGAAATGCTTATTCTATGGAGATATCTCCCCAGTCCCTGTTCATTTTCTTAAGACAATCAAAGAGCACATTTTAGCAAAACTAAGCAATGGCTAACATTATCTATTCATATCTGGCCACAAAATGAAACTCTTCTATGCAGAAAAAAAGACATGGAAATAACCTCAGTGATAGCTGACTGGTTAATGGAAAAAGTAATTGGCATCCATGTGCACAATGAAATACCATTCAACCACAAGCAAAATGAAATCAGGCCCCTTGCAGCAATGTGGATGGAACTGGAGATCATTATGTTCAGTGAGATAAGCCAGAGCCAGAAGAGGAAGTACCATGTGGCCTCATTGTGTGTCATCTAAAAAGTTGATTCCATAGAGGTTGATAGTAGAACAATGAGAAGAATCAAGTTCTCGTATGCACCCACCATTGGTAACTATAGATAGCAATAATATACTATATATTTCAAATGACTAGAAAAGGGCTGAGGAGATAGCTCAGTAGAATAAGCACTTGCCTGGCAAGTGCAAGGGCCTGAGTTCAA